GGGCGCGGCCGTGCGGCCGAAGAGGCAGTCTGGTGGCAGGCCCTGCGCGCAGAAGCCGCACACGCACGTGGGGAAGGAGCAGCAGCGGCACTCATCGACCTATGGAAGGCCTACGAGCTCGTGGACCTGGCCATCATCCAGGGCCGAGGCGTCCTGGCTGGCTACCCTCGGGGCCTGCTGGGTATGGCCCTCACCCTGTACGCGGGGGAGCGCCGCTTCATGCTCGACGGTAGCGTATCCGAGGCCTACCTGCTGGATGCGGGACTCATTGCGGGGTGCTCGCATGCGGGTCGGCTCCTCAAGTGCGGCCTGCTGGTGCTCGCGGACGAGCACGCGCGGCTGTGGCGGGCGCTCGAGCCCAGAGTCACCCTCGCCATCATGCTCGACGACTGCTGCGTCGGGTGCCACGGACCGATGGCACAGGTCGCAGCCTATGTGGCCCAGGCGACGAAGGCGGTCATCTCACAGCTGGAGGCCCTAGGCTGCAAGGTCTCAGCAGCAAAGAGCGAGCTGCTGGCCAGCTCGCCAGAGCGGGCGTCATTGGTTGCCAAGCTAATGGGAGGCATCGCCTTTCCCATCGCCGACTCGGTCAAGAACCTGGGGGTCGACTACTGCCTCGACGGCCAAGCGTTCGTGGTCCTCGAGAAGCGGCATACGAAGGCGGCATCCCAGTTGCAGAGGTTGCACGCCATCCGCTCGCAGGAGACCCCAGCAGCAGCTCGAGTGGCGAACACTGGTCTGCGGCCTGCTACTCGCTATGGGCTGAGTGTGGTGGGCTGGCCGACGTCGCAGCTCAACAAGTGGAGGAGCCAGGTCAACGCCGTCCACCATGGGCACGGCCCAGGCAAGAGCCTCAGCCTCAGTTTCCTCCTCAGCAAGCGCCTGCACTGCGACCCGCTGTACGACCACGTGGCGCTGCCCATTATCGCATGGGCCAAGGCGGTGCAGTTCAACTCGGACAGCAGGGACCTGAGGGCCCTGGGCAGCGCTTTCGCAGGGGCTAGGGCGCTGCTGGCCAGAGGCGGGCCTGAGGCGTTGGCTGGACGCGGGCCAGCTGCTGCGTGCGTATTAGCCTGCCACCGCATGGGCTGGACCGCCACACTGCCAGGGCTGCTCACCAACGACAAGCAGCAGCCGCTGGACTTACGGACCCTGGGGGCCTCCACGCTCGCCAAGCACATCGCCGATGGCCACGAGAGGGCGCTGTGGCGGGCAGCGAGCAAGCACCCAGGACTGGAACACCTGCGTGATGGAGGCGCCCTGTCCAGTATCAGGCGCACATTGGCACGCAAGCGCATGAGCAAGCAGAAGGCCAAGCAGATGAGCTCGGCCAAGAACGCGCTGGTCGGATGTCTCTGGCCCGTGGCGCGGCGGGTCTTTGAGGAACGCCCATTGGCCTCCTCTCCTTGGTGCCCCAGGGGATGCCCTGCGCACGGCACAGTGCGGCACCTGGCGTGGCAGTGCCCAGCCACCGAGGTCAGCCGCGGCGAGTGGATCTCCAACGAGGAGGCGGGCGAGCGGTGCCCCCCTGGCGACATCCCCTTCCGCACCATCGTCGGTATGGCTAGCATCGAGGGAGGCGAGGACCCGCTCTGGTCCCGCGCTCTTGCACCCGAGCACCGAAGGACCCTGCCACCGCCCACCGACGCCAGGGAGGCGCGGAAGGAGGGTCATGCCGACTTGGTGGGGCAGCCGCTATCGGGCGACCTCTTCACGGACGGGAGCGTTCTGGACCCCAGCCTCGTCTCGGCGCGCGGCGGCTGGGCGGTCGTCGTCATGGGACCCGACAGCGAGGCAGTCAGCCTCTTCGGCCCGCTCCCCTGGCCGTATCCCCAGGAATCAGGGGCAGCGGAGCTGGTGGCGGCCATCGAGGGCATCCAGAGCTGCCTACCACCTGTGCGGATCTTCACTGACTGCAAGCTGCTCGTGGACGGCTTCGCGGCGGGCAGGGCGTGGTGCCTGCAGTGGCAGCGGCCTTGCCGCGAGCTTTGGGTGCGGTTCTGGGCGGCCCTCGACGACGTAGGGGTCGGCAGCGTCACCATCCACAAGGTGAAGGCTCACGCCACGCTGGCGGACGCGCAGGCGGAGCGCGTCACGGCCTGGCAGCGGCGGGGCAATCACAGCGCCGATGCCCGCGCCGTGCAGGGCGCGCAGATGCATCCCAGCGACGACGACGTGCGAGAAAGGAGCCGCAGGCAGGATCGCCTCGTCAAGAAGGTCTTCTGCTGGCTGGGTTCGGCGATGCAGGAAGGCGACGCCGAGCTCACGGCAGCGGACGGGCACGAGGGCCCAGGCCTGGGAGCAGTTCGGTGCGATTGGCGCGGCTGCAAGATGCGATGGCGAGCTCACTGCAGTTTCCCAGACTGCCCGCAGCGCACGTGCGGGCGGCACGGGACGTGGCTGGACGTCGACGGCGACACGGTCTGGGCCTGCCAGCGGTGCGCGGGCAGGGGCGACGCGCTCGCGGGCTCCTGGGCCTCAGGGGCCGAGAGCAGAGGCAGAGGCGGATCGGTCGCTGCAGCCGCGGCGCTCATCACGGCGGGCGCGGCGCTGCTGTCTCACAGTCAGGCCAGCGAGGCACCAGCACAGGTGGAAGGAGACGAGGCGAGTGCAGGGCGAGATTCGAGATGGCAGCGGCGCGCCTGGCGGCGGCCAGCGGGGTAGCCCACCGTCGTCGGGGGGTCCTTCTGGGGCCGGTGGCGGGACCCCGCCGCTGCCGCCGCCGCAGCTTCCGCCTTGGTGGGGATTGGACGCCCACGGCTCCCACGACCTGTGGCGGGCTGGCAGCCACCTCTTCTGCGTGAAGTGCGGCTACTGGACGCAGAGCCGCAGGATGGCGGGCTTGGCAGCGGAGTGCACGAAGGCCCCCAAGAACGATAGGCAGAAGGCGGTGCTCAGCAGGCTGAAGCGCGGCCTGCAGCCCGCTGGGGCGGGCGGCATCGGCGACCCTGAGCCGCTACGGCGCATGCGCAGGCGTGTCGATGGTGGCTAGGCTCTTTCTTGCCACGCTTGCCGCCTCGCTCTGTCTGCCATCACGCGAACAGACGTGTTGGCATGCTCTGCTTGTGCAGCCAGTCGGAGGCTGGACCGTGGCGGTAGGTTCGCACACCGCCATGGTTGCCTCCGATCGAGCCAGCATGCTGATCAGCTCGGGTCGCAGGCGGGTCCAAGGATCACGAATGCCTGCGCCGAGCCGCTGCCTCTGGGGGGGGAGGGACCCCGTGGCGTAGGCTGTACCCCGTGGGGCTCGGCACACGTCAGGGTTCACTCCCTCCCGCCCTCTTGGGCAACGTATGTCGCTTGGCGCCTTCGGCGCCTCCGGTTAATGTAGCTGCTGGCGCGCCTTGGGCGCGACAGCCCGCGCAGCTTGCTGCGCTCCAGCCCGCTCTGTGCTCTGTGCGCGCCAGGCGGAGGCCGAACCGTGGTGGTAGGCTACGGCCGACCGTCAGGTTCGCCTCCGAAGGCCACCTCAGTGCAAGTCGTCCCCGTCTGTGGCCTGCCCAGGGGACTGTTGCTCTGATGCGGCGCGCTGAGCTGTCTGCGAGCTGAGTCGCCGTGAGGGCTCAGATGCTTGCTGATCGCCTGCCTTTGGCTGGGGCGGTCGGCGGCCTCAAGGCTTTCAGGCGAGTCTGCGAGTGTGCCTTGGGCACGGGTCAGGCCTTGCGTCCGCAGCGCCAGAGGGAACGGCCATGGCCTCGGGAGGCTGTATCGAGCGGGGAGCTCCAGACCTTCTTGGATGCGTGGATCATCATCATCATCATCATCATCATCATCATCATCATCATCATCATCATCATCATCATCATCATCATCATCATCACCATCCTCATCCTCATCCTCATCCTCATCCTCATCCTCATCATCATCATCAGCATCAGCATCGTCATCGTCATCATCGCCATCGTCATCATCATCGCCATCGTCGTCGTCATCATCAACGTCATCATCACCCTCATCATAATCACCATCATCATCATCATCATCAGCAGCATCATCATCATCATCACCATCACCATATCACCATCATTCATCACCATATCACCATCATCACCATCACCCTCACCACATCACATCACATCACCAACACCATCACCATCACCATCACCATCAAGATCCTCATCATCATCATCACCATCATCACCATTCACCATCACCTCATCATCCAGCATCATTCATCATCACATCTTCACAAACACCATCACCATCCACATCACCATCACCATCACAATACATCAATCACCATCACCAATCTCACCATCATCATCACCATCACCATCACCATCACCATCACCATCACCATCATCATCATCATCATCATCATCATCATCATCATCATCATCATCATCATCATCATCGTCATCGTCATCGTCATCGTCATCGTCATCGTCATCTTTATTGTCATCGTCGACGTGGGCATCGGAAGGCCTCTCGGGGCCGCGCCGGCGTCGTCTCGGGCCGTCTCGGGGGCTCCGCGGGGCCGCCGTCGTCGTCGTCGTCGTCGTCGTCGTCCGTCGTCGTCGTCGTCGTCAGTCGTCGTCGTCCGTCGTCGTCGTCCGTCGTCGTCGTCGTCGTCGTCCGTCGTCGTCGTCGTCGTCGTCGTCGTCGCCGTCGCCGTCGTCGTCGTCGTCGTCGTCGTCGTCGTCGTCGTCGTCGTCGTCGTCGTCGTCGTCGTCGTCGTTAGTCGTCGCCTGCGGCGGCGGCGGCGTCGTCGCCCCGCGCTTCCAGCGGCCGCCCAGGACGCTTCTGGGGCTCCGAGGGCCCCAGGGGGGCCCGCAAAACCTCCATCGGGGCAGGGGCCCTCGTCGCACGCGCAGGCTCTTGCGTTATGGGAGAGAGGTACGGCCGGACCAAGGACAGAAGAACATGTTTCAAGAACTTGAGACCCTCCGCCGACCAAGCTGAAGAACATTCGAGGTTACCCTCGCCCAAGATACACAAGAACATCCGACAACCACGAAGAACATTAGGGCACCCTCCCCGAACCGACCTCGATCTTATACCTCGGTCCGACCGTAGCTGATGCTGGCCTCCAGCTTCGCCTCCCACATCTCGCCGAGCAGCGCCAGAGGCCGCTGCCACTGCTCGCCTTTCTCGAACGCGCTGATCACGGCGTTGTAGCTGACTAGGGCAGACCTGTGGACTCCGTCCACGACATCAGCTCGACGTGGCGAGGGGTCTCTGGGCAAGCGCGGGGGGGTGCGGCTGCAGGGCCGAAAGGCAATCGTCGATCCTACGACGACTCTCCCCAACAGAGAAACATCGAAGGCCCTCGGAGCGTCCAACATTGTTCTTTTGTGCCTTCGATATGCCGGTCGCCTCTCGTCCGCTCCCCCCCTCCTAGAAGCAATTCTGAGGCCATTTAGGGCTTCGTGGGGGCCGTTTGGGGATCTCTTGGGGCGTTTTTGCCTGCGATATGCCTGTCGCCTCTCGTCCGCTCCCCCGCTCCTGGAGGGAATTCTGAAGCCACTGAAGGCTTCGTGGGGGCCGTTTCGGAGCCTCTTCGGCCTTCTTTTGGGCCTCCCGGGGGGGCTCTTAGGGCCCTCTCGGGCCGTCTTGGGTGCCTCTTGGGCCGTCTTGGGGCCGTCTGAGGCCCGCCTCGGCGCCTCTTGGGCTGTCTTGGGCCGTCTTGGGCCGCTCCTGGGGCCGTCTTGGGTGCCTCTTGGGCCGTCTGGGGCGCCTCCTGGGCCGTCCTGGGGCCGTCCTGGGGCGTCTTGGGACCGTCTGGGGGCCCTCCTGGCCCGTCTTGGGGCTCTCTTGTGGTCCTCTTCGGCCGTCTTGGAGCGGTCGGGGGGACTTTTTGGGCCGTCTTGGAGCGTCGGGAAGCCGAAGAGGCGAGGAGGCCGAAAACATCGAAAAACTATAGAAATCGACGATTTCTGTCGCTCGGGGCCCTCTTGGGAGGCCTCTTCGGGCGTCTTGGACGCCTCTTGGGCCGTCTGGGGCGAATCTCGGGCGTCTTGGGCCCATCTTTAAGCGTGCCGGGGCTCTCCGGGGCCGTCTTGGGGGCTTCTGGGGGCCCTCTCGACATGTCCTGGAGCCTGCTTGGCCTCCCTGGGCGGCCCGGGGCCAGCCCGGGGCGGTTTCGGTGCATTGGGGCCTGCGCCCTTCTGGCACGCACTGGGCCCTGCAATGTAGTAGAGACTGGGGCGAACCCGTGGCCTTCGTCCACGACCAGCAGGTCCCCCCTGGCGCGCCTCCACTTTGGGCCCCCGCCCAGGGAAACGGCACCCCGAAGCCTTCGGTTACTTTTTCTGGCCGCGCTTCCGAAATTGGAAGGCGGGCGCTTCCTCCTCTTCGCCCGCCTTCCGCTCCACGTCCGCCTGGATAGCCTCTGGAGCATCACATACGGCTATGGTGGGTCTGCGGTGTGCTTCTCGCCGCTTGTCTGCTCCCCCTGGCTTGAACCATTTTGAAAGCACCTGGGGCCGAAGAAAAAAGTCACCCAGAGGGCTCTGGTGACTTTTTTCGGTTGCCTCTTCGAAGCCTGATAGCCGGCGCTGCCTTCTGCTTGGGAACTGTTTGGGCGCCTCTCGGGGTTTCTTTTCGGCCTCCTGGGGGTCTTGGGCCGTCTTGCGGCCTCCTTGGGTCCTCATGGCGCCCTTCGCTTTTGAAAGCCTTTGTGTAAGGGCTGGTCACGTCACCGCTCGCTCTTGGGAGCTGTGCCTGGGAGAGCTCTCTACGCTGCGGCTCGCTCTTGGGAGCCTTGGTGAGAAGAGCTTTGTACTTCACCGATCGCTGTTTTAATGAGCGTCTCTGGGCCTGCTTGGTGGTACTTGTGGGGGTCTTTTTCGGGCCATTCTGAAGCTTTTTTGGGTTGCTTAGGGAGCGTTTTGGGACGTCTTGGGGCCATTTTGGGCCGTCACGGGGCGTCCAGGAGGCCTTGGACCGTCTTGGAGCTCTCTTGAGGCTGCCTGAGGCCGTCTTGGGAGCCTCTTGGGGCCCCCTCGGAGCTCTCTTGGGGCCGTCTTGGGGTTCTGTGATGCCGTTTCATGGCTCTCTGGCGTCGTCTTGGGGCTCTTGTGGGCCGTCTCGGAGCCTCCTTACGGGCCGCTGGCGTCTTCTTGGAGCGATTTGGCATGCTGAAAATATACGATTTCCCTTAAGAATTTGACGATTTGTACTTCTTTGGCGTGCGCTCGGGGCCCTCTTGGGGCGTCTTCGCGGCCTCGTGGATCGTCGTGGAGCCCCCCCCCGGAAGGCTTCGGGCCCACGTAGGCTGTCTCGGGACCCACTGAGGCCGTCTTGGAGCGCTCTTGGACGGTCTGGGAACCCCTCTGGAGCGCCTCTGGGACCGGCCTGGGCGATTCGGCCCCGTGGTGGCGCCGTAAAGGAGCGATTTCGTGCACTTGAGGCCCTGGGCTTCTCGCACGCGCTTCCACCGGCCATGTAGGAGAGACTGGGGATGTCCCATGGACGTACTCCACGACAGCTGACCCGTATCCGCACATGTCCCTTTCTGGGGGTCGGTGGAATGGCGTAAGCATCGTGCATATTGCTTGC